CCACCCCTCCCCCACCCACCCCCACCCCCCACCCACCCCCCACCCCCACCCACCCCCCACCCACCCACCCACCTGTATGGTGACGATGTGTGGCAGGCTCTGCGAGGCTGTGACTAGGGAGCGGTGCTCCCTCACCCACCCCCTCACCCACCCACCCCCCACCCCCACCCCCTCACCCACCCACCCCCCACCCCCCACCCACCCACCTGTATGGTGACGACGTGTGGCAGGCTCTGCGAGGCTGTGACTAGGGAGCGGTGCTCCCTCACCCACCCCCTCACCCACCCACCACTCCCTCACCCCCTCACCCACCCCCCACCCCCACCCCCCACCCCCCACCTCCACCCACCTGTATGGTGACGATGTGTGGCAGGCTCTGCGAGGCTGTGACTAGGGAGCGGTGCTCCCTCACCGCCCTCTGGATGACCAAGACGCAGCAGCGGACACTCACATCACGAAGCAGCTGATGGTGGTGGTGGTGGTGGTGGACACGGGTGGGGGGAGAGTGGGTGGGGGGGGAGTGGGTGGGGGGGGAGTGAGTGAGTGGGTGAGTGGTGGGTGGGTGAGTGGGTGAGTGGGTGGGTGAGTGAGTGGTAGGTGAGTGAGTGGGTGGGTGAGTGGTAGGTGAGTGAGTGGGTGGGTGAGTGAGTGAGTGGGTGAGTGGTGGGTGGGTGAGTGGGTGAGTGGGTGGGTGAGTGAGTGAGTGGGTGAGTGAGTATGTGGGTGGGTGAGTGGTGGGTGGGTGAGTGGTAGGTGAGTGAGTGGGTGAGTGGGTGGGTGAGTGAGTGGGTGGGGAGGCCCAGGAGCGGTTCAGATAATCGTCACCGGTGGTGGCCGTGAGCGGGAATCGAACCCGGTTCGCCGGGTTCGTAGCGCGGAGTAGCGCTAACCGCTACACTACAATGCGTTACGCTTACACACGCACACATAGACACACACAGACACACACAGACACACACACACAGACACACACAGACACACACACACAGACACACACATACAGACACACACAGACACACACACAGACACACACACAGACACACACACAGACACACACACACAGACACACACACAGACAAAGACAAAGACAAAGATCCCCCATATAGCCTGTAACAGACTGTAGGGGCAAGTGCTGTTAGCGAGCACCTATGAAGGCCGGAACGGTACACGAGGGGGTGGGTGGCCAGCACCACGCCCGACCGCCTTTGTCTCCCTAGTGGCGATGTTTACACACCGCACCAGGTACTCATTTGAGGCTGAGTCGACCTAGGGGAGGCCCGGGACCGGTTCAGATAATCGTCACTGGTGTTGGCCGTGAGCGGGAATCGAACCCGGGTCGCCGGGTTCATAGCGCAGCGCGCTAACCGCTACACTACCGCTCCCCACACACACAGACACACACACACACACAGACACACACACAGACACACACACAGACACACACACACACACAGACACACATACACACACACAGACACACACACACAGACACACACACAGACACACACACATACATACAGACACACACAGACACACACACACAGACACACATACACACACATGCATACACACACACACGCAGATACATACACACAGACACACACACACAGATACACACACACAGACACACACAGATACACACACACAGACACACACTGATACACACACATACATACAGACACACAAACACACAGATACACACACACACACAGACACACACACACATACTACTACTATAGGGTCGGTAGATACTACTACTATAGGGTCGGTAGATACTACTACTGTAGGGTCGGTAGATACTAATACTATAGGGTCGGTAGGTACTACTACTATAGGGTCGGTAGATACTATTACTATAGGGCCGGTAGATACTATTATCATAGCACTTAGATACTACTACTATAGGGTCTGTAGATACTACTACTATAGGGTCTGTAGATACTACTACTATAGGGTCTGTAGATACTACTACTATAGGGCCCGTAGATACTACTACTATAGGGTCTGTAGATACTACTACTATAAGGTCGGTAGATACTACTACTATAGGGTCGGTAGATACTACTACTATAGGGCCCGTAGATACTACTACTATAGGGTCTGTAGATACTACTACTATAGGGTCGGTAGATACTACTACTATAGGGTCGGTAGATACTACTACTATAGGGTCTGTAGATACTACTACTATAGGGTCTGTAGATACTACTACTATAGGGTCGGTAGATACTATTACTATAAGGTCGGTAGATACTACTACTATAGGGTCGGTAGATACTACAACTATAGGGTCGGTAGATACTAATATCATAGCGCTTAGATACTACTATAGGGTCGTTAGATACTACTCTAATAGGGTCTGTAGATACTACTACTATAGGGTCTGTAGATACTACTACTATAGGGTCTGTAGATACTACTACTATAGGGTCGGTAGATACTACTACTATAGGGCCGGTAGATATACTATAGGGTCTGTAGATACTACTACTATAGGGTCTGTAGATACTATTACTATAAGGTCGGTAGATACTACTACTATAGGGTCGGTAGATACTACTACTATAGGGTCGGTAGATACTACTATAGGGTCGGTAGATACTACTATTATAGGGTTGGTAGATACTACTACTATAGGGTCGGTAGATACTACTACTATAGGGTCGGTAGATACTACTACTATAGGGTCGGTAGATACTACTACTATAGGGTCGGTAGATACTACTACTACTATAGGGTCGGTAGATACTACTACTATAGGGTCGGTAGATACTACTACTATAAGGTCGGTAGATACTACTACTATAGGGCCAGTAGATACTACTACTATAGGGTCGGTAGATACTACTACTGAAGGGTCGGTAGATACTACTACTATAGGGTCTGTAGATACTACTACTATAGGGTCGGTAGATACTACTACTGTAGGGTCGGTAGATACTACTACTATAGGGTCTGTAGATACTACTACTATAGGGTCGGTAGATACTATTATCATAGCGCTTAGATACTACTACTATAGGGTCGGTAGATACTACTACTATAGGGTCTGTAGATACTACTACTATAGGGTCTGTAGATACTACTACTGTAGGGTCGCTAGATACTACTACTGTAGGGTCGGTAGATACTACTACTATAGAGTCGGTAGATACTATTATCATAGCGCTTAGATACTACTACTATAGGGTCGGTAGATACTACTACTATAGGGTCTGTAGATACTACTACTATAGGGTCAGTAGATACTACTACTATAGGGTCGGTAGATATTACTACTATAGGGTCGGTAGATACTACTACTATAGGGTCGGTAGATACTACTACTATAGGGTCGGTAGATACTAATATCATAGCGCTTAGATACTACTACTATAGGGTCGGTAGATACTACTACTATAGGGTCTGTAGATACTACTACTATAGGGTCAGTAGATACTACTACTATAGGGTCGGTAGATATTACTACTATAGGGTCGGTAGATACTACTACTATAGGGTCGGTAGATACTACTACTATAGGGTCGGTAGATACTACTATAGGGTCGGTAGATACTAATATCATAGCGCTTAGATACTATTACTATAGGGTCGGTAGATACTAATACTACAGGGTCGGTAGATACTAATATCATAGCACTTAGATACTACTACTATAGGGTCAGTAGATACTAATACTATAGGGTCGGTAGATACTAATATCATAGCGCTTAGATACTATTCTATAGGGTCGGTAGATACTAATACTATAGGGTCGGTAGATACTAATATCATAGCACTTAGATACTACTACTATAGGGTCGGTAGATACTACTACTATAGGGTCGGTAGATACTAATATCATAGCACTTAGATACTAATACTATAGGGTCGGTAGATACTAATATCATAGCGCTTAGATACTACTATAGGGTCTGTAGATACTACTACTATAGGGTCGGTAGATACTAATATCATAGCACTTAGATACTACTATAGGGTCGGTAGATACTACTACTATAGGGTCAGTAGATACCACTACTATAGGGTCGGTAGATACTAATATCATAGCACTTAGATACTATTACTGTAGAGCGGGCAGGGGGATGGTGGTGGGGTTAGCAGTCCAGCCCCAGCCTGCCAAGGCGCCACCTCAGCCGGCTGGGCAATCTAGGCGAGGACCGGGGCTCTGCACGGGACTAGGCCTCACCACGGCACTCTGTGAAGTAAGTAAGTACTATATTCTTGGTTCTTTCGCTAAAGTCACCCTCGATAGGAAAATAAAAATTAAAGCAACTCAAAATAAAACAGGTAAAATAAAAAAAACATATAAAAACTAACGTAGACTGTAGCTTGGTTCTTAATCTGAGTGTACTGGCAGTCTATAATGTAGACTGTAGCCTGGTTCTTAAGCCGAGTGAGTGTACTTGCAGTCTATAATGTAGACTGTAGCCTGGTTATTAAGCTGAGTGAGTGTACTGGCAGTCTATATTGTAGACTGTAACCTGGTTATTAAGCTGAGTGAGTGTACTTGCAGTCTATAATGTAGACTGTAGCCTGGTTATTAAGCTGAGTGAGTGTACTGGTAGTCTATAATGTAGACTGTAGCCTGGTTATCAAGCCGAGTGAGTGTACTGACAGTCTATAATGTAGACTGTAGCCTGGTTATTAAGCTGAGCGAGTGTACTGACAGTCTATAATGTAGACTGTACGAGTGCTTTGACGTACGACTGCTTTGACGTACGAGTGCTTCGGATTAAAAAACACGTTTCCGGAAACGAATTACAGCTCGCAATTCCAAGGTTCTAACTGTAAATATATATTTATTTTTTTTGTCACCCGGGGCAAAAGCGGGGCACGACCCCGCTACTAACGAAATAAAATCGCTCACCTTCCGCAGGTGACGCTCACGCCGACCGGCAAGCTGAGCCCTGTACCAAGCCTGGATCTTGGTAGCGGCTTCACGTCTCTCGTGAAGATCTCTCCTCGACCGATGTCCACGATAGGCGGCCTGCAGAACGATGGCAGCTCCGCGTAGCCTGAGGAACGACCGTCTTTCATCTCGGCCCGCACGGTGAGCCCTGTACCAAGCCTGGATCTTGGTAGTGGCTTCACGTCTCTCGTGAAGATCTCTCCTCGACCGATGTCCACGATAGGCGGCCTGAAGAACGATGGCAGCTCCGCGTAGCCTGAGGAACGACCGTCTGTCCGCTCGGCCCTCCCGGCGAGCCCTGTACCACCCCTGGATCTTGGTAGCTGCTTCATGCCTCCTCAGGAACTCCCTCCTGGACGCCTGTTCACGGTAGGCGGCCTGAACAATGATGGCAGCTCCACGTAGCCTGAGGAACGACCGTCTTTCATCTCGGCCCGCACGGTGAGCCCTGTACCACCCCTGGATCTTGGTAGCGGCTTCACGTCTCTCGTGAAGATCTCTCCTCGACCGATGTCCACGATAGGCGGCCTGCAGAACGATGGCAGCTCCACGTAGCTCAAGGAACGACCGTCTGTCCGCTCGGCCCGCACGGCGAGCCCTGTACCACGCCTGAATTTTGGTGGCGGCTTCATGCCTTCTGAGTAAAGCTCTCCTAGACACGTGACCACGGTAGGCGGCTTGAAGAACGATGGCAGCTTCACGTAGCCTGAGGAACGACCGTCTGTCTCTCCGCCCCTCCCGGTGAGCCCTGTACCACGCCTGGATCTTGGTAGCTGCTTCATGCCTTCTAAGTAAAGCTCTCCTACACACGTGACCACGATAGGCGGATTGCAGAACGACAGCAGCTCCACGTAGCCTGAGGAACGACCGTCTCTCTCTCCGCCCCTCCCGGTGAGCCCTGTACCACCCCTGGATCTTGGTAGCTGCTTCATGCCTTCTAATTAGATCTCTCCTTGACACGTGACCACGGTAGGTGGCCTGAACAATGATGGCAGCTTCACGTAGCCTGAGGAACGACCGTCTTTCATCTTGGCCCGCACGGTGAGCCCTGTACCACCCCTGGATCTTGGTAGTGGCTTCACGTCTCTTGTGAAGATCTCTCCTCGACCGATGTCCACGATAGGCGGCCTGAACAATGATGGCAGCTTCACGTAGCCTGAGGAACGACCGTCTCTCTCTCCGTCCCTCCCGGTGAGCCCTGTACCACGCCTGGATCTTGGTAGCTGCTTCATGCCTTCTAAGTAGATCTCTCCTAGACACGTGACCACGATAGGCGGCTTGCAGAACGATGGCAGCTCCGCGTAGCCTGAGGAACGACCGTCTGTCTGCTCGGCCTACCTGGTGAGCCCTGTACCACTGCTGGACAGCCACGCTGGCTCCCCGCATGATCAGGAACTTGAGCCTCTTGCTGCTGCCCCAGTACCACGCCTGGATCTTGGTAGCTGCAACATGCCTCCTCAGCAACTCCCTCCTGGACGCCTGTCCACGATAGGAGGCCTGAAGAATGATGGCAGCTCCACGTAGCCTGAGGAACGACCGTCTTTCATCTCGGCCCGCACGGTGAGCCCTGTACCACCCCTGGATCTTGGTAGTGGCTTCACGTCTCTTGTGAAGATCTCTCCTTGATGCCTGTCCACGATAGGCGGCCTGAAGAACGATGGCACCTCTACGTAGCTCAAGGAACGACCGTCTGTCCGCTCGGCCTACCTGGTGAGCCCTGTACCACTGCTGGACAGCCACGCTGGCTCCCCGCATGGCCAGGAACTTGAGCCTCTTGCTGCTGCCCCGGTACCACGCCTGGATCTTGGTAGCTGCAACATGCCTTCTAAGTAGAGCTCTCCTAGACACATGACCACGATAGGAGGCCTGAAGAATGATGGCAGCTTCACGTAGCCTGAGGAACGACCGTCTCTCTCTCCGCCCCTCCAGGTGAGCCCTGTACCACCCCTGGATCTTGGTAGTGGCTTCACGTCTCTTGTGAAGATCTCTCCTGGACGCCTGTCCACGATAGGCAGCCTGAACAATGATGGCAGCTTCGCGCAGCTCAAGGAACGACCGTCTGTCCGCTCGGCCTACCTGGTGAGCCCTGTACCACTGCTGGACAGCCACGCTGGCTCCCCGCATGATCAGGAACTTGAGTCTCTTGCTGCTGCCCCGGTACCACGCCTGGATCTTGGTAGCTGCAACATGCCTTCTTAGTAGATCTCTCCTACACACGTGACCACGATAGGCGGCCTGAAGAATGATGGCAGCTCCACGTAGCCTGAGGAACGACCGTCTTTCATCTCGGCCCGCACGGTGAGCCCTGTGCCACCTCTGGATTTTGGTAGCGGCTTCATGCCTCCTCAGCAACTCCCTCCTGGACGCCTGTCCACGATAGGAGGCCTGAAGAACGACGGCGGCTCCACGTAGCTCAAGGAACGACCGTCTCTCTCTCCGCCCCTCCCGGTGAGCCCTGTACCACTGCTGGACAGCCACGCTGGCTCCCCGCATGATCAAGAACTTGAGTCTCTTGCTGCTGCCCCGGTACCACGCCTGGATCTTGGTAGCGGCTTCACGTCTCTTGCGAAGATCTCTCCTTGACACGTGACCACGGTAAGCAGCCTGAACAACGATGGCAGCTTCACGTAGCCTGAGGAACGACCGTCTCTCTCTCCGCCCCTCCTGGTGAGCCCTGTACCACGCCTGGATCTTGGTGGCGGCTTCCCGCCTTCTAAGTAGATCTCTCCTAGACACGTAACCACGGTAGGCGGCTTGCAGAACGACGGCACCTCTACGTAGCTCAAGGAACGACCGTCTGTCCGCTCGCCCTACCTGGTGAGCCCTGTACCATGCCTGGATTTTGGTGGCGGCTTCATGCCTCTCGCGAAGATCTCTCCTTGATGCCTGTCCACGATAGGCGGCCTGAAGAACGATGGTAGCTCCACGTAGCTCAAGGAACGACCGTCTTTCATCTCGGCCCGCACGGTGAGCCCTGTACCACGCCTGGATCTTGGTAGTGGCTTCACGTCTCTTGTGAAGATCTCTCCTCGACCGATGTCCACGATAGGCGGCCTGCAGAACGATGGTAGCTCCACGTAGCTCAAGGAACGACCGTCTGTCCGCTCGGCCCGCACGGCGAGCCCTGTGCCACGCCTGGATCTTGGTAGCTGCTTCATGCCTTCTAAGTAAAGCTCTCCTTGACACGTGACCACGGTAAGCAGCCTGAACAACGATGGCAGCTTCACGTAGCTTGAGGAATGACCGTCTGTCCGCTCGGCCGACCTGGTGAGCCCTGTACCATTGCTGGACAGCCACGCTGGCTCGCCGCATGGCCAGGAACTTGAGTCTCTTGCTGCTGCCCCGGTACCACCCCTGGATCTTGGTAGCTGCAACATGCCTTCTTAGTAGAGCTCTCCTAGACACATGACCACGATAGGCGGCCTGAACAATGATGGCAGCTTCGCGCAGCCTGAGGAACGACCGTCTCTCTCTCCGCCCCTCCCGGTGAGCCCTGTACCACGCCTGGATCTTGGTAGCTGCTTCATGCTTTCTGAGTAAAGCTCTCCTAGACACGTAACCACGGTAGGCGGCTTGCAGAACGACGGCACCTCTACGTAGCTCAAGGAACGACCGTCTGTCCGCTCGGCCTACCTGGTGAGCCCTGTACCACTGCTGGACAGCCACGCTGGCTCCCCGCATGGCCAGGAACTTGAGTCTCTTGCTGCTGCCCCGGTACCACGCCTGGATCTTGGTAGCTGCTTCATGCCTTCTAAGTAGAGCTCTCCTAGACACGTGACCACGATAGGCGGCTTGCAGAACGACAGCAGCTCCACGTAGCCTGAGGAACGACCGTCTTTCATCTCGGCCCGCACGGTGAGCCCTGTACCACCCCTGGATCTTCGTAGCAGCTTCACGTCTCTTGTGAAGATCTCTCCTCGACCGATGTCCACGATAGGCGGCCTGCAGAACGATGGCAGCTCCACGTAGCTCAAGGAACGACCATCTGTCCGCTCGGCCAGCACGGCGAGCCCTGTACCACGCCTGGATCTTGGTAGCTGCTTCATGCCTTCTAAGTAGATCTCTCCTTGACACGTGACCACGGTAAGCAGCCTGAACAACGATGGCAGCTTCACGTAGCCTGAGGAACGACCGTCTGTCTGCTCGGCCTACCTGGTGAGCCCTGTACCACTGCTGGACAGCCACGCTGGCTCGCCGCATGGCCAGGAACTTGAGTCTCTTGCTGCTGCCCCGGTACCACGCCTGGATCTTGGTAGCTGCTTCATGCCTTCTAAGTAAAGCTCTCCTACACACGTGACCACGATAGGCGGATTGCAGAACGACAGCAGCTCCACGTAGCCTGAGGAACGACCGTCTCTCTCTCCGCCCCTCCCGGTGAGCCCTGTACCACCCCTGGATCTTGGTAGCTGCTTCATGCCTTCTGAGTAAAGCTCTCCTAGACACGTGACCACGGTAAGCAGCCTGAACAACGATGGCAGCTTCACGTAGCCTGAGGAACGACCGTCTGTCGGCTCGGCCCGCACGGCGAGCCCTGTACCACTGCTGGACAGCCACGCTGGCTCCCCGCATGGCCAGGAACTTGAGTCTCTTGCTGCTGCCCCGGTACCACGCCTGGATCTTGGTAGCTGCTTCATGCCTTCTAAGTAGATCTCTCCTAGACACCTGTCCCCGATAGGCGGCCTGAAGAACGATGGCAGCTTCACGTAGCCCGAGGAACGACCGTCTGTCCGCTCGGCCTACCTGGTGAGCCCTGTACCACTGCTGGACAGCCACGCTGGCTCCCCGCATGGCCAGGAACTTGAGTCTCTTGCTGCTGCCCCGGTACCACCCCTGGATCTTGGTAGCTGCTTCATGCCTCCTCAGCAACTCCCTCCTGGACGCCTGTCCACGATAGGAGGCCTGAAGAACGATGGCAGCTTCACGTAGCCTGAGGAACGACCGTCTGTCTCTCCGCCCCGCACGGCGAGCCCTGTGCCATGCCTGGATCTTGGTAGCAGCTTCACGTCTCTTGTGAAGATCTCTCCTCGACCGAAGTCCATGGTAGGCGGCCTGAACAACGATGGCAGCTTCACGTAGCCTGAGGAACGACCGTCTTTCATCTCGGCCCGCACGGTGAGCCCTGTACCACCCCTGAATTTTGGTAGCGGCTTCACGTCTCTCACGAAGATCTCTCCTGGACGCCTGTCCACGATAGGCGGCTTGAAGAACGACGGCAGCTCCGCGTAGCCTGAGGAACGACCGTCTGTCCGCTCGGCCCTCCCGGCGAGCCCTGTACCACGCCTGGATCTTGGCGGCGGCTTCCCGTCTCTTGCGAAGATCTCTCCTCGACCGATGTCCACGACAGGCGGCCTGCAGAACGACGGCAGCTCCGTGCAGCCTGAGGTAGGCGCGTCTCTCCGCTCGGCCTACCAGGCGAGCCCTGTGCCACTCCTGGAGATCTCGGCAGCGCGAGAGGAATCCCCGACGCCCCTCCTCCTCCTCCTCCTCCTCGTCCACGGAGTCCGAGCCGTGGTCGGGCCGAGTGCCGAGGGCCGAGGGCAGCTCCTCCCGAGGCACCTCGAGCCACTCCACGTGCCCCCAGCCGTCCGCTCCGTCGACCAACACCCAGGCCGCTCCCTTCCCACGGCCGCGCGCAAAATCCTCCTCGTCCTCTGGCTGGAGACGCGGCTGCCCTTCCCGTAGGCCGACGTCACGTGACGCAAGACTGCTGCTGCCCCGCGGAAAGTCTTCACAGGGCGGCTGCCCTTCCCGCAGGCCGACGTCACGTGACGCAAGACTGCTGCTGCCCTGCGGAAAGTCTTCACACGGCGGCTGCCCTTCCCGTAGGCCGACGTCACGTGACGCAAGACTGCTGCTGCCCAGCGGAAAGTCTTCACACGGCGGCTGCCCTTCCCGTAGGCCGACGTCACGTGACGCAAGACTGCTGCTGCCCAGCGGAAAGTCTTCACAGGGCGGCTGCCCTTCCCGTAGGCCGACGTCACGTGACGCAAGACTGCTGCTGCCCAGCGGAAAGTCTTCACAGGGCGGCTGCCCTTCCCGCAGGCCGACGTCACGTGACGCAAGACTGCTGCTGCCCTGCGGAAAGTCTTCACACGGCGGCTGCCCTTCCCGCAGATCACCGCCGAGAGACAGACGCCTGCTGACCTGAAGATCACCGCCATCTTGAGACAGACGCCTGCTGACCTGAAGATCGCCGCCATCTTGAGACAGACGCCTGCTGACCTGAAGATCACCGCCATCTTGAGACAGACGCCCCTGAAGATCGCCGCCATCTTGAGACAGACGCCTGCTGCCCTGAAGATCGCCGCCATCTTGAGACAGACGCCTGCTGACCTGAAGATCGCCGCCATCTTGAGACAGACGCCTGCTGACCTGAAGATCGCCGCCATCTTGAGACAGACGCCTGCTGACCTGAAGATCGCCGCCATCTTGAGACAGACGCCTGCTGACCTGAAGATCACCGCCATCTTGAGACAGACGCCCCTGAAGATCGCCGCCATCTTGAGACAGACGCCTGCTGCCCTGAAGATCGCCGCCATCTTGAGACAGACGCCTGCTGACCTGAAGATCGCCGCCATCTTGAGACAGACGCCTGCTGACCTGAAGATCGCCGCCATCTTGAGACAGACGCCTGCTGACCTGAAGATCACCGCCATCTTGAGACAGACGCCCCTGAAGATCACCGCCATCTTGAGACAGACGCCTGCTGACCTGAAGATCGCCGCCATCTTGAGACAGACGCCTGCTGACCTGAAGATCGCCGCCATCTTGAGACAGACGCCTGCTGACCTGAAGATCGCCGCCATCTTGAGACAGACGCCTGCTGACCTGAAGATCGCCGCCATCTTGAGACAGACGCCTGCTGACCTGAAGATCGCCGCCATCTTGAGACAGACGCCTGCTGACCTGAAGATCGCCGCCATCTTGAGACAGACGCCTGCTGACCTGAAGATCACCGCCATCTTGAGACAGACGCCTGCTGACCTGAAGATCGCCGCCATCTTGAGACAGACACCTGCTGACCTGAAGATCGCCGCCATCTTGAGACAGACGCCTGCTGACCTGCCCACCGCCATCTTGAGACAGACGCCTGCTGACCTGCCCACCGCCATCTTGAGACAGACGGCCCTGAAGATCACCGCCATCTTGAGACAGACGCCTGCTGACCTGAAGATCGCCGCCATCTTGAGACAGACGCCTGCTGACCTGAAGATCGCCGCCATCTTGAGACAGACGCCCCTGAAGATCGCCGCCATCTTGAGACAGACGCCTGCTGACCTGAAGATCGCCGCCATCTTGAGACAGACGCCTGCTGACCTGAAGATCGCCGCCATCTTGAGACAGACGCCTGCTGACCTGAAGATCGCCATCTTGAGACAGACGCCTGCTGACCTGAAGATCTCCGCCATCTTGAGACAGACGCCTGCTGACCTGAAGATCGCCGCCATCTTGAGACAGACGCCTGCTGACCTGAAGAACGCCGCCATCTTGAGACAGACGCCTGCTGACCTGAAGATCGCCGCCATCTTGAGACAGACGCCTGCTGACCTGAAGATCGCCGCCATCTTGAGACAGACGCCTGCTGACCTGAAGATCGCCGCCATCTTGAGACAGACGCCTGCTGACCTGCCCACCGCCATCTTGAGACAGACGCCTGCTGACCTGAAGATCGCCGCCATCTTGAGACAGACGCCTGCTGACCTGAAGATCGCCGCCATCTTGAGACAGACGCCTGCTGACCTGAAGATCGCCGCCATCTTGAGACAGACGCCTGCTGACCTGCCCACCGCCATCTTGAGACAGACGCCTGCTGACCTGAAGATCGCCGCCATCTTGAGACAGACGCCTGCTGACCTGCCCACCGCCATCTTGAGACAGACGCCTGCTGACCTGAAGATCGCCGCCATCTTGAGACAGACGCCTGCTGACCTGAAGATCGCCGCCATCTTGAGACAGACGCCTGCTGACCTGAAGATCGCCGCCATCTTGAGACAGACGCCTGCTGACCTGAAGATCGCCGCCATCTTGAGACAGACGCCTGCTGACCTGAAGATCGCCGCCATCTTGAGACAGACGCCTGCTGACCTGAAGATCGCCGCCATCTTGAGACAGACGCCTGCTGACCTGAAGATCGCCGCCATCTTGAGACAGACGCCTGCTGACCTGAAGATCGCCGCCATCTTGAGACAGACGCCTGCTGACCTGAAGATCGCCGCCATCTTGAGACAGACGCCTGCTGACCTGAAGATCGCCGCCATCTTGAGACAGACGCCTGCTGACCTGCCCACCGCCATCTTGAGACAGACGCCTGCTGACCTGAAGATCGCCGCCATCTTGAGACAGACGCCTGCTGACCTGCCCACCGCCATCTTGAGACAGACGCCTGCTGACCTGAAGATCGCCGCCATCTTGAGACAGACGCCTGCTGACCTGCCCACCGCCATCTTGAGACAGACGCCTGCTGACCTGCCCACCGCCATCTTGAGACAGACGCCCCTGAAGATCGCCGCCATCTTGAGACAGACGCCTGCTGACCTGAAGATCTCCGCCATCTTGAGACAGACGCCTGCTGACCTGAAGATCGCCGCCATCTTGAGACAGACGCCTGCTGACCTGAAGATCGCCGCCATCTTGAGACAGACGCCTGCTGACCTGAAGATCTCCGCCATCTTGAGACAGACGCCTGCTGACCTGAAGATCGCCGCCATCTTGAGACAGACGCCTGCTGACCTGAAGATCGCCGCCATCTTGAGACAGACGCCTGCTGACCTGAAGATCGCCGCCATCTTGAGACAGACGCCTGCTGACCTGAAGATCGCCGCCATCTTGAGACAGACGCCTGCTGACCTGAAGATCGCCGCCATCTTGAGACAGACGCCTGCTGACCTGAAGATCGCCGCCATCTTGAGACAGACGCCTGCTGACCTGAAGATCGCCGCCATCTTGAGACAGACGCCTGCTGACCTGAAGATCGCCGCCATCTTGAGACAGACGCCTGCTGACCTGAAGATCGCCGCCATCTTGAGACAGACGCCTGCTGACCTGAAGATCGCCGCCATCTTGAGACAGACGCCTGCTGACCTGAAGATCGCCGCCATCTTGAGACAGACGCCTGCTGACCTGAAGATCGCCGCCATCTTGAGACAGACGCCTGCTGACCTGAAGATCGCCGCCATCTTGAGACAGACGCCTGCTGACCTGAAGATCGCCGCCATCTTGAGACAGACGCCTGCTGACCTGAAGATCGCCGCCATCTTGAGACAGACGCCTGCTGACCTGAAGATCGCCGCCATCTTGAGACAGACGCCTGCTGACCTGAAGATCACCGCCATCTTGAGACAGACGCCTGCTGACCTGAAGATCACCGCCATCTTGAGACAGACGCCTGCTGACCTGAAGATCGCCGCCATCTTGAGACAGACGCCTGCTGACCTGAAGATCACCGCCATCTTGAGACAGACGCCTGCTGACCTGAAGATCACCGCCATCTTGAGACAGACGCCTGCTGACCTGAAGATCGCCGCCATCTTGAGACAGACGCCTGCTGACCTGAAGATCGCCGCCATCTTGAGACAGACGCCTGCTGACCTGAAGATCGCCGCCATCTTGAGACAGACGCCTGCTGACCTGAAGATCACCGCCATCTTGAGACAGACGCCTGCTGCCCTGAAGATCGCCGCCATCTTGAGACAGACGCCTGCTGACCTGAAGATCGCCGCCATCTTGAGACAGACGCCTGCTGCCCTGCCCGCCGCCTTCACGAGGCTGGGAGAGGCTCCTGCTGCTCCTGTTGCTGCTGCTGCTCCTGCTGCTCCTGTTGCTGCTGCTGCTGCTGCCGCCGCCCAGGGGTCCACCTTGCCGCTGCCCCTCCCCCCGCCGCTCGGGGGCGTGGGGGGGTGCGTGGGGGGGTGCGTGGGGGGGGGCGGCCCGGAGTTGACGTTGCAGGAAGCTGCGACCTGCCCTCTGCAGAACGCCGGCAGCTCGCTGAGTCTTCTAGAGACGTCGTGGGGGAGGGGGGAGGGGGGGGGAGGGAGGGGGGGAGGGGGGGAGGGAGGGAGGGAGGGAGGGAGGGGGGAGGGGAGGGAGGGGGGGGGGGGAGGGGTTTCAGCGTCTCAAACTCCTCCTCTGAGTGAGCAGTAATCACCGGCATACAGAACGTGGTTGACCAATTGGGAGCATTCCCTTGACCACACTCAGGCATAGATCACTCCCATTGAACACACACACAGACACACACAGACACACGTACGTACCCACACAAACCCACACACACACAAAGACAAAGATCCCCCGTATAGCCTTAACAGACTGTAGGGGCAAGTGCTGTTAGCGAGCACCTATGAAGGCCGGAACGGTACACGAGGGGGGTGGGTGGCCAGCACCACGCCCGACCGCCTTTGTCTCCCCAGTGACGATGTTTACTACACACCGCACCAGGTACTCATTTGAGGCTGAGTCGACCTAGGGGAGGCCCGGGACCGGTTCAGATAATCGTCACTGGTGGTGTTGGCCGTGAGCGGGAATCGAACCCGGGTCGCCAGGTTCATAGCGCAGCGTAGCGCTAACCACTACACTACCGCTCCCCACTCACACAAACACACACACGTACACACACACACACACGTACCCACGCACACACACAGACACACGTACACACACACACACTCACACACGTACACACACACACACTCACACACGTACACACACACACACTCACACACGTACCCACACACACACACTCACAACAGTACACACACACACACTCACACACTCACACACGTACACACACGTACCCACACACACTCACAACAGTACACACACACACACTCACACACGTACACACACGTACCCACACACACACACACATACGTACCCACGCACACACACAGACACACGTACACACACACACGTACACACACACACACTCACACACACGTACTCACACACACACGTACCCACGTGTGTACGTGTGTGAGTACGTGTGTGTGTGAGTGTACCTGGTGCAGCCTGTGTCTCCTTGAAGAAGTCGTGCTGCACGGCACTCCACAGACTCATCCACACACGTACACACACACAGGTATACACACACACACGTACACACACACACACGTACACACACACACACACGTACACACACATACACACACACGTACACACACACACACACACGTACACACACACACGTACACACACACACACACGTACACACACACACGTACACACACACACACACGTACACACACGTACACACACACACGTACACACACACAGGTACACACACACACACGTACACACACACAGGTACACACACACACACACGTACACGTACACACACACACACACATGTACACACACGTACACACGTGTGTGTGTGTGAGTGTACCTGGTGCAGCCTGTGTCTCCTCCAGGCAGCTTGAAGAAGTCGTGCCGCACGGCACTCCACAGACTCATCCACACACGTACACACACACACGTACACACACGTACACACACACAGGTACACACACACACACGTACACACACACAGGTACACACACACACACGTACACACACACACATGTACACACACGTACACACGTGTGTGTGTGTGAGTGTACCTGGTGCAGCCTGTGTCTCCTCCACGCAGCTTGAAGAAGTCGTGCTGCACGGCACTCCACAGACTCATCCAGGAGGCGGGCGCAGAGGAAGCTGACAAACACCACCAGCACCTGGTCAGGGGGTCAGGGGGTCAGGGGGTCAGGGGGTCAGGGGGTCAGGGGGTCAGGGGGTCAGGGGGTCAGGGGGTGGGTGGGTGAGTAAGTGTTTGAGTGAGTGGGCGGGTGAGCGAGTGGGTGAGTGTGAGTGAGTGAGCGTGTGGGTGAGTGAGTGAGTGAGTGGGTGAGCGAGCGGGTGGGTGAGTGGGTGGGTGAGTGAGTGGGCGAGCGAGTGGGCGAGCGAGTGAGTGAGCGAGTGGGTGAGTGAGTGGGCGAGTGAGTGGGTGAGCGAGCGAGTGGGTGAGTGAGTGAGTGGGTGAGCGAGTGAGCGTGTGAGCGTGTGAGCGAGCGAGTGAGCGAGCGAGCGAGCGAGTGGGCGAGCGAGTGGGAGGGTGAGCGAGGGGCACCTTCTTCTCCGGGATGGTGTTGGCCACATCGTCAGGGTGCAACATGCTTGGGATGCCGCCCAGCTGTGAGGCAGCCCTTGCCGCTAGACGCACGTTGTGTACCGCGTTGTGCTGTAGCTGCAGCTGCTGCTGCTGCTGATGCTGCTGCTGCTGATGCTCTGCTTAGTGGGGGGTGGGAGACAGAGGGGGGGACAGGGGGTGAGGTGTTAGTGTGAGTAAGTTTGCGTGTTCAAGTGTGTGAGTGAGTGGGTGAGTGGGTGGGTAGGTGAGTGGGTGGGTGGGTGAGAGTGTAAGAGAGTGAGTGAGTGAGAGTGTGTGTGAGTGTGTGTGTGAGAGTGTAAGAGAGTGAGTGAGTGTGTGAGTGAGTGTATGAGTGGGTGGGTAGGTGAGTGGGTGAGTGTAAGAGAGTGAGTGAGTGGGTGAGTGAGTGTGTGAGTGAGTGTGTGAGTGACTGAGTAAGTGGGTGAGTGAGTGTGTGAGTGGGTGGGTGAGTGTGTGAGTGGGTGTGTGGGTGGGTGAATGTGTGAGTGAGTGAGTGTGGGTGAGTGAGTGAGTGTGTGAGTGGGTGGGTGAGTGAGTGAGTGGGTGGGTGTGTGAGTGGGTGGGTGAGTGTGTGAGTGAGTGTGTGAGTGTGTGAGTGAGTGGGTGAGTGACTGAGTGAGTGGGTGAGTGAGTGTGTGAGTGAGTGTGTGAATGAGTAAGTGGGTGGGTAGGTGAGTGGGTGAGTAGGTGAGTGGGTGGGTGAGTGGGTGGGTGAGTGGGTGGGTGAGCGGGTGGGCGAGTGGGTGGGTGGGCGAGTGGGTGGGTGGGTGAGTGGCCTGGCACAAGCGTCGTGGTGACTTAGTGGCGAATGGCGTTTGTTGTTGTTGCTGTGTGTATAATCCACTCACCATCGTCCCAGGCCGTGGTGAGTGTGGTGGTGAGTGTGGTGAGGGCGTGGATGGACGAGGCTGGAACGAGCTCGGGGTGGTAGTAGTGGATCAGCCAGCAGAGCGCCCGGCCGTCAGAGAGAGACACAGAGAGGTTGTCTACCTGTGATGCACACACACACACATACACACGTACATATACACACAAACGTACACACACGTACACATACACACACACGTACACACACACGTACATATACACACATACATACACACACACACACACACAAGTACACGTACATACACAAACACGTACACACACACACACACAAGTACACGTACATACACACACACGTACACACATACACACGTACACACATACACACACACGTACACACATACACACACACGTACACACATACACACACACGTACACACATACACACACACGTACACACATACACACACGTACACAAACACACGTACATATACACACACAAACACACACACACGTGCATACACACACGTACATATACACACGTACACACACACACGTACACACACACGTACATACACACACACACACGTACATATACACACACACGTACACACGTACATATACACACACACGTACATATACACACGTACATATACACACACACGTACACACACGTACATATACACACACGTACACACACATACATACATACACATACACACGTACACACGTACATACACGTACACACACACACACGTACACACACACACGTACACACACACGTACATATACACACACACACACGTACACACACACACACGTACACACACACACGTACATATACACACGTACACACACACACGTACACACACGTACATACACACACACGTACATACACACACACGTACACACACGTACATATACACACACATACATACACACGTACACGTACACACACACACGTACATACACACACACGTACACACAAACAAAGACAAAGATCCCCCATATAGCCTTAACAGACTGTAGGGCCAAGTGCTGTTAGCGAGCACCTATGAAGGCCGGAACGGTACACGAGGGGGTGGGTGGTCAGCACCACGCCCGACCGCCTTTGTCTCCCCAGTGGCGATGTTTACACACCGCACCAGGTACTCATTTGAGGCTGAGTCGACCTAGGGGAGGCCCAGGACCGGTTCAGATAATCGTCACTGGTGTTGGCCGTGAGCGGGAATCGAACCCGGGTCGCCAGGTTCATAGCGCAGCGTAGCGCTAACCACTACACTACCGCTCCCCACCACACATACACACACACACGTACACAGACACACACGTACACACGTACATACACACACACACATATACACACACACGTACATATACACACACGTACATACACACACACACGTACATACACACACGTACACACACACCTACCCACCCACTCAACCACTCACCCACTCAGCCACTCACCCACTGACCCACTCACCCACTCACTCACTCACCCACTCACCCACTCACTCACCCACTGACCCACTCACTCACTGACCCACTCACTCACTCACCCACTCACTCACTCACCCACTCACTCACTCACTCACCCACTGACCCACTCACTCACTGACCCACTCACCCACTGACCCACTCACTCACTGACCCACTCACTCACTCACCCACTGACCCACTCACTCACTCACCCACTGACCCACTCACCCACTGACCCACTCACTCACTCACCCACTGACCCACTCACTCACTCACCCACTGACCCACTCACCCACTGACCCACTCACTCACTCACCCACTGACCCACTCACCCACTGACCCACTCACTCACTCACTCACTGACCCACTCACTCACTGACCCACTCACTCACTCACCCACTGACCCACTCACCCACTGACCCACTCACTCACTCACCCACTGACCCACTCACCCACTCACCCACTGACCCACTCACACACCCACTCACCCACTGACCCACTCACCCACTCACCCACTCACCCACTCACTCACTGACCCACTCACACACCCACCCACTCACTCACTCACCCACTGACCCACTCACCCACTCACCCACCGACCCACTCACCCACTCACACACCCACTCACCCACTGACCCACTCACCCACTCACCCACTCACCCACTCACCCACTGACCCACTCACACACTCACTCACCCACCCACTGACCCACTCACACACCCACTCACCCACCCACTCACCCACTCACCCACTCACCTTCACTCCGTATCTCCCACACACGGCCCTGCACCACTGCAGTAGCAGTGACACCTCCTCCTCCTCCTCCTCCACCTCCTCCACCTCCACCTCCTCCACCTCCTCCTCCTGCACCTCCTCCTGCACCTCCTCTCTGCCGGCTGCTGCTGAGTGCAGCTGCAGTCGTTCAATCTCCTTCCTGAGACGCGCCTTGTCCAGCAAAACCCTCACCTGGGACAGGGCAACGGGGGAGGGAGTGAGAGTGAGAGAGTGAGTGGGTGTCTGTGAGTGTCTCTGTGTGTGAGTGTCTGTGTGTGAGTGTCTGTGTGTGAGTGTCTGTGTGTGAGTGTCTGTGAGTGTCTCTGTGTGTGTCTGTGAGTGTGTCTGTGTGTGAGCGAGTGTGAGTGTCTGTGAGTGTCTGTGTGTGTGAGTGTCTCTGTGTGTGAGTGTCTGTGTGTGTGTGTCTGTGTGTGTGTGTCTGTGTGTGAGTGTCTGTGAGTGTCTCTGTGTGAGAGTGTCTCTGTGTGTGAGTGTCTGTGAGTGTCTCTGTGTGAGAGTGTGTGTGAGTGTCTCTGTGTGAGAGTGTCTGTGAGTGTGTGTCTCTGTGTGTGTCTGTGTGTGTGTGAGTGTCTCTGTGTGTGAGTGTCTGTGTGTGTGTGTCTGTGAGTGTCTCTGTGTGTGAGTGTCTGTGTGTGAGTGTCTGTGAGTGTGTGTGAGTGTGTCTGTGAGTGTGTCTGTGTGTGAGCGAGTGTGAGTGTCTGTGAGTGTCTGTGTGTGTGAGTGTCTCTGTGTGTGAGTGTCTGTGTGTGTGTGTCTGTGTGTGTGTGTCTGTGTGTGAGTGTCTGTGAGTGTCTCTGTGTGAGAGTGTCTCTGTGTGTGAGTGTCTGTGAGTGTCTCTGTGTGAGAGTGTGTGTGAGTGTCTCTGTGTGAGAGTGTCTGTGAGTGTGTGTCTCTGTGTGTGTCTGTGTGTGTGTGAGTGTCTCTGTGTGTGAGTGTCTGTGTGTGTGTGTCTGTGAGTGTCTCTGTGTGTGAGTGTCTCTGTGTGTGAGTGTCTGTGTGTGAGTGTCTGTGAGTGTGTGTGAGTGTCTCTGTGTGTGAGTGTCTGTGAGTGTGTGTGAGTGTCTCTGTGTGTGAGTGTCTGTGAGTGTCCCTGTGTGTGTCTGTGAGTGTCTGTGAGTGTCTGTGTGTGAGTGTCTGTGAGTGTGTGTGAGTGTCTCTGTGTTTGAGTGTCTGTGTGTGAGTGTCTGTGAGTGTGTGTGAGTGTCTCTGTGTGTGAGTGTCTGTGAGTGTGTGTGAGTGTCTCTGTGTGTGAGTGTCTGTGAGTGTCTCTGTGTGTGAGTGTCTGTGTGTGAGTGTCTGTGAGTGTGTGTGAGTGTCTTTGTGTGTGAGTGTCTGTGTGTGAGTGTCTGTGAGTGTCTCTGTGTGTGAGTGTCTGTGTGTGTGTCTGTGAGTATCTGTGAGTGTCTCTGTGTGTGAGTGTCTGTGTGTGAGTGTCTGTGAGTGTGTGTGAGTGTCTCTGTGTGTGAGTGTCTGTGAGTGTCCCTGTGAGTGTCTGTGAGTGTCTCTGTGTGTGAGTGTGAGTCTGTGTGTGAGTGTCTGTGAGTGTATGTGAGTGTCTCTGAGTGTCTGTGAGTGTCTGTGTGAATGTCTCTGTGTGAGTGTCTCTGTGTGAGTGTGAGAGTCTGTGTGTGAGTGTCTGTGTGAGTGAGTGTGAGTGTCTGTGAGTGTCTCTGTGTGTGAGTGTCTGTGAGTGTCTGTGAGAGTGTCTGTGAGTGTCTCTGTGTGTGAGTGTGAGTCTGTGTGTGAGTGTCTGTGTGTGAGTGAGTGTGAGTGAGTGTCTGTGAGTGTCTGTGTGAGTGTCTGTGAGTGTCTCTGTGTGTGAGAGTCTGTGTGTGTGAGTGTCTGTGAGTGTCTCTGTGTGTGTCTGTGAGTGTCTGTGAGTGTGTGTCTGTGAGTGAGAGTCTGTGTGTGTCTGTGTGTGAGTGTCTCTATGTGAGTGTCTGTGTGTAAGTGTCTCTGTGTGTGTCTCCGTGTGAGTCTCCGTGTGAGTCTCCGTGTGAGTCTCTGTGTGAGTCTCTGTGAGTGTCTCTGTGAGTGTCTCTGTGTGTGTCTCTGTGTGTGTCTCTGTGTGTGTCTCTGTGTGTCTCTGTGAGTGTCTCTGTGTGTGTCTCTGTGAGTGTCTCTGTGTGAGTCTCTGTGTGTGTCTCTGTGAGTGTCTCTGTGAGTGTCTCTGTGAGTGTCTCTGTGTGTGTCTCTGTGAGTGTCTCTGTGTGAGTCTCTGTGAGTGTCTCTCTGTGTGTCTATGTGTCTCTGTGTGTGTCTCTCTGTGTGTCTATGTGTCTCTGTGTGTGTCTCTGTGTGTGTCTCTGTGTGTGTCTCTGTGTGTGTCTCTGTGTGTGTCTCTGTGTGTGTCTCTGTGTGTGTCTCTGTGTGTGTCTCTGTGTGTGTCTCTGTGAGTGTCTCTGTGTGAGTGTCTCTGTGTGAGTGTCTCTGTGTGTGTCTCTGTGAGTGTCTCTGTGTGAGTGTCTCTGTGTGAGTGTCTCTCTGTGAGTGTCTCTGTGTGCGTCTCTGTCTCTGTGTGTGTCTCTGTGAGTGTCTCTGTGTGCGTCTCTGTCTCTGTGTGTGTCTCTGTGAGTGTCTCTGTGTGAGTGTCTCTGTGTGTGTGTCTCTGTGTCTCTGTGTGTGTCTCTCTGTGTGTCTATGTGTCTCTGTGTGTGTCTCTGTGAGTGTCTCTGTGTGTGTCTCTGTCTCTGTGTGAGTCTCTGTGTGTGTCTCTGTGTCTCTGTGAGTGTCTCTGTGTGTGTGTCTCTGTGTGTCTCTCTGTGTGTCTATGTGTCTCTGTGTGAGTCTCTGTGAGTGTCTCTGTGTCTCTGTGTGTGTCTCTGCGAGTCTTCAGCCACCTGGAAATGCAGAACGAGCTGCCACAACAGAGCGAGGGTCTTCTCCCTGTGGCCATTGACGACATCCCTAGACTCGATCTGTCTCCCTGCAGAGACAAAGATCCCCCAGGTAGCCTCTAACAAGACTGTAGGGGCAAGTGGCTGTTAGTAGCAAAGACAAAGATCCCCCAGGTAGCCTCTAGCAGGGCTGTAGGGGCAAGTGGCTGTTAGTAGCAAAGACAAAGATCCCCCAGGTAGCCTCTAGCATGGCTGTAGGGGCAAGTGGCTGTTAGTAGCAAAGACAAAGATCCCCCAGGTAGCCTCTAGCAGGGTGTAGGGGCAAGTGCTGTTAGTAGCACAAAGACAAAGATCCCCCAGGTAGCCTCTAGCAGGGTGTAGGGGCAAGTGCTGTTAGTAGTAGCGAGTAGCAGCAGCAGCGTCTGTGAGGGCTACCGGCACTGTGGCTACATTCACCCCGTCAACCACCCACCCACTCACCCACCCGCTCAACCACTCGCTCACCCACTCACCCACCCACTCACCCACCCACTCACTCACCCACCCACCCACCCACCCACTCACTCACCCACCCACCCACTCACTCACCCACCCACCCACCCACTCACCCACCCACCCACCCACCCACTCGCCCCGCCACTCACTCACCCACCCACCCACCCACTCACCCACCCACAGACCCACCCACCCACCCACTCACCCACCCACCCACCCACTCACTCACTCACCCACCCACCCACCCACCCACTCACCCACCCACCCACTCATCCACCCACCCACCCCACCCACTCACCGTGTGAGTCTGTGAGCCTCACCCCACACAGTGTCAGTGCTCTGAGTGCCAGGTCCACGTTGTGGATCTTGTTGAGCCGAGACTCCGCAGGGACCCTGAGCTGGGGGCACAGCGACACCTGTCCACTCAGCAGCTCCACCAGCCTCCTGGTGACACAGGGTGACACACAGGGTGACACACAGGGTGACACACAGGGTGAGTGAGTGAGTGAGTGACACCTGTCCACTCAGCAGCTCCACCAGCCTCCTGGTGACACAGGGTGACACACAGGGTGACACACAGGGTGACACACAGGGTGACACACAGGGTGAGTGACACACAGGGTGACACAGGGTGACACACAGGGTGAGTGAGTGAGTGAGTGACACCTGTCCACTCAGCAGCTCCACCAGCCTCCTGGTGACACAGGGTGACACACAGGGTGACACAGGGTGACACACAGGGTGACAAACAGGGTGAGTGAGTGGGTGACACCTGTCCACTCAGCAGCTCCACCAGCCTCCTGGTGACACAGGGTGACACACAGGGTGACACAGGGTGACACACAGGGTGACACACAGGGTGAGTGAGTGGGTGACACCTGTCCACTCAGCAGCTCCACCAGCCTCCTGGTGACACACAGGGTGACACAGGGGGTGACACAGGGGGTGACACACAGGGTGACACACAGGGTGACACACAGGGTGACACAGGGTGACACACAGGGTGAGTGACACACAGGGTGACACAGGGTGACACAGGGGGTGACACACAGGGTGACACACAGGGTGACACACAGAGTGACACACAGGGTGACACACAGAGTGACACACAGGATGACACACAGAGTGACACACAGGGTGACACACAGAGTGACACACAGGATGACACACAGGGTGACACAGGGTGACACACAGGGTGACACACAGGGTGACACACAGGGTGACACACAGGGTGACACACAGGGTGACACACAGGGTGACACACAGGGTGATACAGGGTGAGTGACACCTGTCCACTCAGCAGCTCCACCAGCCTCCTGATGACACACAGGGTGACACACAGGATGACACACGGGGTGACACAGGGTGACACACAGGGTGACACACAGGGTGACACAGGGTGACACATAGGGTGACACAGGGTGAGTGAGTGAGTGAGTGGGTGGGTGGGTGGGTGAGTGAGTGGGTGAGTGGGTGGGTGAGTGAGTGAGTGAGTGGGTGGGTGAGTGAGTGGGTGAGTGGGTGAGTGAGTGAGTGGGTGAGTGGGTGGGTGGGTGAGTGAGTGAGTGGGTGAGTGAGTGAGTGGGTGGGTGAGTGGGTGAGTGGGTGGGTGGGTGAGTGAGTGGGTGGGTGAGTGAGTGAGTGGGTGAGTGAGTGAGTGTGTGGGTGAGTGAGTGAATGAGTGGGTGGGTGGGTGGGTGAGTGAGTGGGTGAGTGAGTGGGTGGGTGAGTGAGTGGGTGGGTGAGTGGGTGGGTGGGTGAGTGAGTGGGTGGGTGAGTGAGTGAGTGGGTGGGTGAGTGAGTGAGTGGGTGGGTGAGTGAGTGAGTGGGTGGGTGAGTGGGTGGATGGGTGAGTGAGTGGGTGGGTGAGTGAGTGAGTGGGTGAGTGTGTGAGTGTGTGTATGAGTGTATGAGTGTGAGTGGGTGCGTGTGTGAGTGAGTGTATGAGTGTGTGAGTGTGTGTGTGTGATTGAGTGTATGTGTGAGTGAGTGTGTGAGTGTATGAGTGTATGAGTGAGTGAATGAGTGAGTGTGAGTGAGTGTATGAGTGAGTGTGTAAGTGAGTGTGTGAGTGAGTGTGAGTGTGTGAGTGTGTGTATGAGTGAGTGTATGAGTGTGAGAGTGAGTGTGTGAGTATGAGTGAGTGAGTGTATGAGTGAGTGTGTGAGTGAGTGTATGAGTGAGTGTATGAGTGTGTGTATGTGTGGGTGAGTGTGAGTGAGTGTATGAGTGAGTGAGTGAGTGTGATTGAGTGAGTGTATGAGTGAGTGTATGAGTGAGTGTATGAGTGAGTGAGTGTATGAGTGAGTGAGTGTGAGTGTAAGTATGTATGAGTGAGTGTGAGTGTATGAGTGAGTGTGAGTGTATGAGTGTGTATGAGAGTGTGTAAGTGTGAGTGTGTAAGTGAGTGTATGAGTGAGTGTATGAGTGAGTGTATGAGTGAGTGTATGAGTGAGTGAGTGTATGAGTGTGTGAGTGAGTGTGTGAGTGAGTGTGTGAGTGAGTGAGTGAGTGTGAGTGAGTGAGTGTGTGTGAGTGTGTGAGTGAGTGTGTATGAGTGTGAGTGAGTGTGTAAGTGAGTGTGTGAGTGAGTGTGTGAGTGTGTAAGTGAGTACACTACAAAGTGTAATGTGCACGACGTAGCAGTGTGTGTGGCGTACGGTTCAGCGTGCGTAGCACGTAACGTGGTGTACAGTGCTGTACAGTGCGTTACTGTACAGCACAGTGATCCACTCCCCCCCCCCCCGTGAGTCTGACGTCACGGCGTAGGCCCCGCCCACAGGCGGTGTACAGCGCGGTACAGTGCTGTACAGTGCAGTACAGTGTTGTGCGGTGCTGTGCAGTGTTGTACAGTGCAGTACAGTGTTGTACCGTGCTGCAGTGCTGTACAGTGTGCTACTGTGCGGCACAGTGAGCCACGCACGTGAGTCTGACATCACGGCGTAGGCCCCGCCCACAGGTGGTGTACAGTGCGGTACAGTGGTGTACAGTGCGGTACAGTGTTGTACAGTGCGGTACAGTGTTGTACGGTGCTGTGCAGTGTTGTGCGGTGCTGTGCGGTGCTGTACAGTGCGGTACAGTGCTGTACAATGCTGCAGTGTTGTACAATGTGGTACGGTGTTGTACAGTGTGGTACAGTGTTGTACAGTGCTGCAGTGCTGTACAGTGCGCTACTGTACGGCACAGTGAGCCACGCACGTGAGCCTGACGCCACAGCGGAGGTCGGTCCCCAGGTTGTGGACTCTGAACGCAAACTCGCTCAGGGCTCCTTGACGATGCTGCAGGGAGAAGCCGAGGGAGACGAGGCGGCGACAGAGATCCCCCACGCACGCAGACACGTGGTCCCGGCTCACAGCGAGAACCAGCTCCCTGGTGCTCTACACAGAGAGACACACAGAGAGAGAGAGAGACACAGTGAGAGACACACACACAGTGAGACACAGGGAGAGGAGGCGGCGACAGAGATCCCCCACGCACGCAGACACGTGGTCCCGGCTTACAGCGAGAACCAGCTCCCTGGTGCTCTACACAGAGAGACACACAGAGAGAGAGAGAGACACAGTGAGAGACACACACACAGTGAGACACAGGGAGAGGAGGCGGCGACAGAGATCCCCCACGCACGCAGACACGTGGTCCCGGCTCACGGCGAGAACCAGCTCCCTGGTACTCTACACAGAGAGACACACAGAGAGAGAGAGAGAGACACAGTGAGAGACACACACACAGTGAGACACACAGTGAGACACAGGGAGAGGAGGCGGCGACAGAGATCCCCCACGCACGCAGACACGTGGTCCCGGCTCACAGCGAGAACCAGGTCCCTGGTACTCTACAGAGAGACACACAGAGAGACACACACAGTGAGACAGACACACAGAGAGACAGAGGGAGAGGAGGCGGCGACAGAGATCCCCCACGCACGCTGACACGTGGTCCCGGCTCACAGCGAGAACCAGCTCCCTGGTGCTCTACAGAGAGACACACAGTGAGACACAGTGAGACGTGGTCCCGGCTTACAGCGAGTACTAGGTCCCTGGTACTCTACACACAGAGAGAGAGACACACAGAGAGACACAGTGAGACACACAGAGAGACACACACAGTGAGACACAGGGAGACACACAGAGTGAGAGAGACAGAAACACACAGTGAGACACAGTGAGACACAGTGAGACGTGGTCCCGGCTTACAGCGAGAACCAGCTCCCTGGTACTCTACACACAGACACACAGAGAGAGAGACACACACAGTGAGACACACACAGAGACACACACAGAGACACAGTGAGACACACACAGTGAGAGAGACACACACAGAGAGACAGAGGGAGAGGAGGCGGCGACAGAGATCCCCCACGCACGCAGACACGTGGTCCCGGCTTACAGCGAGAACCAGGTCCCTGGTGCTCTACAGAGAGACACACAGAGAGAGAGAGAGACACAGTGAGACACACACACAGTGAGATACAGGGAGAGGAGGCGGCGACAGAGATCCCCCACGCACGCAGACACGTGGTCCCGGCTCACAGCGAGAACCAGGTCCCTGGTGCTCTACACACAGAGAGACAGAGACACACAGTGAGAGACACACACAGTGAGACACAGTGAGACACACAGAGAGACACACACAGAGACACAGTGAGACACACAGAGAGACACAGAGACACAGGGAGAGGAGGCGGCGACAGAGATCCCCCACGCACGCAGACACGTGGTCCCGGCTCACAGCCAGGACTAGCTCCCTGGTACTCTACACACAGAGAGAGAGACACACAGAGAGACACAGTGAGACACACAGAGAGACACACACAGTGAGAGAGACACACACAGAGACACACACAGAGAGACAGAGGGAGAGGAGGCGGCGACAGAGATCCCCCACGCACGCTGACACGTGGTCCCGGCTTACAGCGAGTACCAGCTCCCTGGTGCTCTACAGAGAGACACACAGTGAGAGAGACACAGAGACACAGTGAGACACAGTGAGAGGAGGCGGCGACAGAGATCCCCCACGCACGCTGACACGTGGTCCCGGCTCACGGCGAGAACCAGGTCCCTGGTACTCTACACACAGAGAGACACAGCGAGAGAGACACAGTGAGACACAGGGAGAGGAGGCGGCGACAGAGATCCCCCACGCACGCAGACACGTGGTCCCGGCTTACAGCGAGAACCAGGTCCCTGGTGCTCTACAGAGAGACACACAGAGAGAGAGAGAGAGACACAGTGAGAGACACAGAGAGAGACACAGGGAGAGGAGGCGGCGACAGAGATCCCCCACGCACGCAGACACGTGGTCCCGGCTCACAGCGAGAACCAGCTCCCTGGTACTCTACACACACAGAGACACACACAGTGAGACACACACAGTGAGACACACACAGAGACACACAGAGAGAGACACAGGGAGAGGAGGCGGCGACAGAGATCCCCCACACACGCGGACACGTGGTCCCGGCTCACGGCGAGAACCAGGTCCCTGGTACTCTACACACACACAGAGAGACACACACAGTGAGACAGACACAGTGAGATACACAGAGACACACACAGAGACACACAGGGAGAGGAGGCGGCGACAGAGATCCCCCACGCACGCTGAGACGTGGTCCCGGCTCACAGCGAGAACCAGCTCCCTGGTACTCTACACAGAGAGAGACACAGAGACACACACAGTGAGACACACACAGAGACACAGTGAGACACACACAGTGAGACAGAGGGAGAGGAGGCGGCGACAGAGATCCCCCACGCACGCTGAGATGTGGTCCCGGCTCACAGCCAGTACTAGATCCCTGGTACTCTACACACAGAGAGACACAGAGAGACACACAGAGACACACAGAGACACAGTGAGACACACACAGACACACACAGAGACACACACAGAGACACAGTGAGACACACACAGAGACACAGTGAGACACACACAGACACACACAGAGACACACACAGAGACACAGTGAGACACACACAGAGACACAGTGAGACACACACAGACACACACAGAGACACACACAGAGACACAGTGAGACACACACAGTGAGATACACAGTGAGACACACAGAGACACACACAGTGAGACACAGTGAGACACACACAGACACACACAGTGAGAGAGAGACACAGTGAGACACAGGGAGAGGAGACGGCGACAGAGATCCCCCACGCACGCTGACACGTGGTCCCGGCTCACAGCGAGTACCAGATCCCTGGTACTCTACACAGAGACACACACAGTGAAAGAGACACAGTGAGACACACAGAGACACAGGGACACACACAGTGAGACACAGCGAGACACAGTGAGACGTGGTCCCGGCTTACAGCGAGTACCAGGTCCCTGGTACTCTACACAGAGACACACACAGTGAGACACACACAGTGAGAGAGACACACACAGAGAGACAGAGGGAGAGGAGGCGGCGACAGAGATCCCCCACGCACGCAGACACGTGGTCCTGGCTTACAGCCAGTACCAGATCCCTGGTACTCTACACAGAGACACACACAGTGAGAGACACATAATGAGACACACACAGAGACACACACAGTGAGAGAGACACACACAGAGACACAGTGAGACACACAGAGACACAGTGACACATGGTCCCGGCTCACGGCCAGTACCAGGTCCCTGGTACTCTACACAGAGAGACAGAGACACACAGTGAGACACACACAGAGACACACAGTGAGACACACAGAGGGAGACGAGGCGGCGACAGAGATCCCCCACACACGCAGACACGTGGTCCCGGCTCACAGCCAGTACCAGGTCCCTGGTACTCTACACAGAGAGACAGAGAGACACACAGAGACACACAGACAGAGACAGAGACACAGTGAGACACACACAGTGAGACACACACAGAGACACAGGGAGAAACCGAGGGAGAGGAGGCGGCGACAGAGATCCCCCACACACGCAGACACGTGGTCCCGGCTCACAGCGAGAACCAGATCCCTGGTGCTCTACACAGAGACACACACAGTGAGACACACAGAGAGAGAGAGACACACACAGTGAGACACACACAGTGACACGTGGTCCCGGCTCACAGCCAGTACCAGCTCCCTGGTACTCTACACAGAGAGACAGAGACACACAGAGACACAGTGAGACACACACAGAGATACACAGAGATACACAGAGACACACAGAGACACAGTGAGACACACACAGAGACACACAGAGACACACAGTGAGACACAGTGAGACACACACAGAGACACACAGAGACACACAGAGACACAGAGACACAGTGAGACACACAGAGACACACAGAGACACACAGAGACACACAGAGACACAGTGAGACACAGTGAGACACACAGAGACACAGTGAGACACAGTGAGACACACACAGAGACACACAGAGACACACAGAGACACACAGAGACACACACAGAGACACACAGAGACACACACAGAGACACACAGAGACACACAGAGACACACAGAGACACACTGAGACACAGTGAGACACACAGAGACACACAGAGACACACAGAGACACACAGTGAGACACAGTGAGACACACAGAGACACACAGAGACACACAGAGACACACAGAGACACACAGAGACACACAGAGACACAGTGAGACGTGGTCCCGGCTCACAGCCAGTACCAGGTCCCTGGTGCTCTACACACAGAGAGACACACGAAGACACACACAGAGAGACACAGTGAGACACAGAGAGACACAGTGAGACAGAGAGACACACAGAGACACAGTGAGAGACAGAGAGAGACAGTGAGACACACAGAGACACAGTGAGAGACAGAGAGAGACAGTGAGACACACAGAGATACAGTGAGACACAGAGAGACACACAGAGACAGTGAGACACACAGAGACACAGTGAGACACAGAGAGACACACAGAGACAGTGAGACACAGAGAGAGACAGAGAGACACAGTGAGAGACAGAGAGAGACACAGTGAGACACACACAGAGACTCAATGAGACAGTGAGACACAGTGAGACACACAGAGACACAGTGAGACACAGAGACAACACAGAGACAGAGACACACAGTGAGACAGAGAGACACAGTGAGACACAGTGAGACACACAGAGACACAGAGACACACAGTGAGACAGAGAGACACACAGTGAGACACAGTGAGACACAGTGAGACACAGAGAGACACAGAGAGACACAGTGAGACACAGTGAGACACAGAGAGACACAGAGAGACAGAGAGACACAGTAATACAGAGACACAGTGAGACACAGTCAGACAGAGAGACACAGAGAGACAGAGAGACACAGAGAGACACAGTGAGACAGAGAGACACAGAGAGACACAGAGAGACTGAGAGACACAGAGAGACACAGAGAGACTGTGAGACACAGAGAGACACAGTGAGACACAGTGAGACACAGTGAGACAGTGAGACACTGAGAGACTCTGTGTCTCTGTGTGTGTGTGTCTCTCTCTGTGAGTCTCTGTGTGTCTCTGTGTGAGTGTGTCTCTCTGTGTCTGTGTGTGTCTCTCTCTCTCTCTCTCTGTGTCTCTCTCTGTGTCTCTCTCCCTGTCTCTCTCGCTGTCTCTCTCTCTCTGTCTCTCTCTCTCTCTGTGTGTCTATATCAATAAACTCGCCTTGAAGGGAGAGTCGAGTCTAAAGAGGCATGGGTCGTGAGCGATGAGTCGCTGCGTTTTGGCCTCGTCCAGGAAGAGAATCAGCAGCAGCAGCCTCCGCAGAGTGAACCGTGACAGAGCCTCCAGCATGCCTACAGAGATACACACACAGAGATACATACAGAGATACATAGAGATACACACATATATACACACACAGAGATACATAGAGATACACACATAGATACACACACACAGATATACACACAGATACACACAGAGATACACACACACAGAGCCTCCAGCATGCCTACAGAGATACACACACAGAGATACATACAGAGATACACACAGAGATACACACATAGATACACACACAGATACACACACAGATACACAGAGATACACACACAGAGATACACACACACACACAGAGCCTCCAGCATGCCTACAGAGATACACACACAGAGATACATACATAGAGATACACACAGAGATACACACACAGAGATACATACATAGAGATACACACAGATACACACAGAGATACACACACACACACAGAGCCTCCAGCATGCCTACAGAGATACACACACAGAGATACACACAGAGATATACACAAAGAGATACACACACAGATACACACACAGATACAGAGACGCACACACACAGAGATATACATAGAGATACATAGAGATACACACAAAGATACACACAGAGATACACAGACACACACAGAGCCTCCAGCATGCCTACAGAGATACACACACAGAGATACACACAGAGATATACACACAGATACACACATAGAGTGTGTGAGTATGTGTGTATGAGTGTATGAGTGAGTGTATGAGTGTGTGGTGAGTGTGTGGTGAGTGTGTGGTGAGTGTGGTGAGTAACTCACCATCCCTGTACAGGTGAGGCACTGTGGGGTGTGAGTGTGAGTGTGTGTATGAGTGAGTGAGTGTGTGTATGAGTGAGTGTGTGTATGAGTGTGTGAGTGTGTGTATGAGTGTATGTGTGAGTGTGGTGAGTGTGGTGAGTGTGGTGAGTGTGGTGAGTGTGGTGAGTAACTCACCATCCCTGAACAGGTGAGGCACAGTGGGGTGTGAGTGTGTGTGAGTGTGTGAGTGTATGAGTGAGTGTGTGAGTGTGTGAGTGTATGAGTGAGTGAGTGTATGAGTGTGTGAGTGAGTGTATGAGTGTGTGAGTGAGTGTATGAGTGAGTGTGTGAGTGGGTGAGTGTGTGAGTGAGTGTATGAGTGTGTGAGTGAGTGTGGTGAGTGTGTGGTGAGTGTGGTGAGTAACTCACCATCCCTGTACAGGTGAGGTACAGTGGGGTGTGAGTGTGTGAGTGAGTGAGTGGTGAGTGGTGAGTGTGTGGTGAGTGAGTGGTGAGTGTGTGGTGAGTGTGGTGAGTGTGGTGAGTGAGTAACTCACCATCCCTGTACAGGTGAGGCACAGTGGGGTGTGAGTGTGTGAGTGAGTGTATGAGTGTGTGAGTGTGTGAGTGTATGAGTGAGTGTGAGTGTATGAGTGAGTGTGTGAGTGACTGGTGAGTGTGTGGTGAGTGAGTGTGTGAGTGTGTGGTGAGTGTGGTGAGTAACTCACCATCCCTGTACAGGTGAGGCACTGTGGGGTGTGAGTGTGTGAGTGTGTGTATGAGTGAGTGTATGAGTGAGTGTGTGAGTAACTGGTGAGTGTGTATGAGTGATTGGTGTATGAGTGTGTGGTGAGTGTGGTGAGTGAGTAACTCACCATCCCTGTACAGGTGAGGCACAGTGGGGTGTGAGTGTATGAGTGTGTGTGACCTGGTCAAGGCCTATGATACCATCAGTAGGCCTGGGCTCTGGGTCGTTCTTCGTGCTTTTGGAGTACCTGACCCTCTGCTCACGATCATTAAGGACCTTCATGATGGTGAGCGGGCCCGGGTAAAACTACGTGGCCGGGAGTCAGAGCCATTCCCTGTACACCTTGGGGTGCGACAGGGATGTCCTCTGGCTCCCACATTATTTAACATCTATTTTGACCACGTAGTTCGTGAAGCCTTCAATAGCTGTACCGGGGGAATCTCCATATGGTACAGATATAATGGGAGGTTAATCGATGCCCGGGTGCGGTCAAGGGATGGCTCCCTATTGCTCAACCACGTTATGTATGCTGATGACTTGGTAATAGCTGCTCAGTCAGAGGAGGAGTTGGAGACGCTGCTGCTGAGACTGGAGCGTGCCACTAAGAGGTGGGGCCTTACCATCAGCCCCACCAAAACTAAGCACCTGCCTGGGTATTTTGTACCATCGGACACTCCACCCCCACAACTCCCAATCGGTGATGGGGCAGTTGTGGAGAAAGTGGAGAGTTTCCCATACCTGGGCAGTGTGCTTATGACTGGCTACAGTTTAACAGCAGAGGTCTCACTCCGAATCAGTCGCGCGGCAATATCTTTTCATCGGTTGCGTAACGCTTTGTGGAAGCTACCTGGTCTGTCGCTCCGCACTAAGCTTCAGGTCTTCTCGGCCACGGTCATTCCCTCCCTTCTCTACGCTTGCGAAACGTGGACCCCCCTAATGGAACATCTTCGCCGGTTAGAAACATTTAGGCTGGCCTGCCTACGATCCATCCTGGGTTTAACCAGACTGGATTGTGTGAGGAGCTCACAAATCCTTGAAAGATCTGGGCAGGGTCCCATCGGTGAGCTCCTCCGGCAGGCAAGGCTGCGATGGCTGGGTCATGTAGCCCGCATGCCCAGCCACCGCATGCCGAAACAGCTTTTGTTCGGCCGGATTGAGGGGGCTAAGCGGGCGCGGCACGGGCTAGAGAAGAGATGGAGTGATGTGGTACAGGAGGACGTGGAGCTGAGTGGACTTGCCGATGACTGGTACCAGCGGTGTCAAGATCGGCCTCTGTGGAGGAGGCTCGTGAAGGATGCTACTGGGCAGTTGGAGGCAGTCGCCCTCCAACAACAACGGAGGGCGGAGGAGCGATGCTCACAACAGCGAGCGGAGCGCCGGGTGGCTAAAGCACAGCAGGTTGGCACAGTAGGGGGCACAGGTGGTGCATCAGCCAGTCATCTCAGTCAGTCGACCCGTGGCACCTGGGTCTGCCCCGTGACCTCCTGCCAGCGGGCGTTCGACACTTCACGTGGCCTCAGGGTGCACATAGCCTGGCACAAGCGTCGTGGTGACGTCACCGCCACTTAGTGGCGAATGGCGGTTGTTGTTGTTGTATGAGTGTATGAGTGTGTGGTGAGTGAGTGTGGTGAGTGTGGTGAGTAACTCACCATCCCTGTACAGGTGAGGCACAGTGGGGTGTGAGTATGTGAGTGTGTATATGAGTGTGTGTATGAGTGTATGTATGAGTGAGTGTGTGAGTGTGTGTATGAGTGTATGAGTGTGTATATGAGTGTGTGAGTGTGTGTGTGTAAGTGAATGGTGAGTGTGTGTATGAGTGAATGGTGAGTGTGGTGAGTGTGTGGTGAGTGTGGTGAGTAACTCACCATCCCTGTACAGGTGAGGCACAGTGGGGTGTGAGTGTGTGAGTGTGTATATGAGTGAGTGAGTGTGTGTGTGAGTGTATGAGTGAGTGTGTGTATGAGTGTATGTATGAGTGAGTGTGTGTATGAGTGAATGGTGAGTGTGGTGAGTGTGTGGTGAGTGTGGTGAGTAACTCACCATCCCTGTACAGGTGAGGCACAGTGGGGTGTGAGTGAGTGAGTGAGTGTATGAGTGTGTGTGTGAGTGTGTGAGTAAGTGTGTGAGTGATTGGTGAGTGTGTGGTGAGTGTGGTGAGTGTGTGGTGAGTGTGGTGAGTAACTCACCATCCCTGTACAGGTGAGGCACAGTGGGGTGTGAGTGTGTGAGTGTGTGTATGAGTGATTGGTGAGTGTGTGGTGAGTGTGGTGAGTGTGTGGTGAGTGTGGTGAGTAACTCACCATCCCTGTACAGGTGAGGCACAGTGGGGTGTGAGTGTGTGTGTGTAAGTGAATGGTGAGTGTGTGGTGAGTGTGGTGAGTGTGGTGAGTGTGTGGTGAGTGTGGTGAGTAACTCACCATCCCTGTACAGGTGAGGCACAGTGGGGTGTGAGTGTGTGAGTGTGTGTATGAGTGAGTGTATGTATGAGTGATTGGTGAGTGTATGAGTGAGTGTGTAAGTGAATGGTGAGTGTGGTGAGTGTGTGGTGAGTGTGGTGAGTAACTCACCATCCCTGTACAGGTGAGGCACAGTGGGGTGTGAGTGTGTGAGTGTGTATATGAGTGAGTGAGTGTGTGTGTGAGTGTATGAGTGAGTGTGTGTATGAGTGTATGTATGAGTGAGTGTGTGAGTGTGTGTATGAGTGAATGGTGAGTGTGGTGAGTGTGTGGTGAGTGTGGTGAGTAACTCACCATCCCTGTACAGGTAAGGCACAGTGGGGTGTGTATGAGAGTGTGAGTGTATGAGTGAGTGTGTGTATGAGTGTATGTATGAGTGAGTGTGTGAGTGTGTGTATGAGTGAATGGTGAGTGTGGTGAGTGTGTGGTGAGTGTGTGGTGAGTAACTCACCATCCCTGTACAGGTGAGGCACAGTGGGGTGTGAGTGTGTGAGTGTGTGTATGAGTGTGTGTATGAGTGTATGAGTGTGTGTATGAGTGTGTGTGTGAGTGATTGGTGAGTGATTGGTGAGTGTGTGGTGAGTGTGGTGAGTGTGGTGAGTAACTCACCATCCCTGTACAGGTGAGGCACAGTGGGGTGTGAGTGTATGAGTGTGTGTATGAGTGATTGGTGAGTGTGTGGTGAGTGTGGTGAGTGTGTGGTGAGTGTGGTGAGTAACTCACCATCCCTGTACAGGTGAGGCACAGTGGGGTGTGAGTATTCTGTGGCCGTGCTCTGGTCCCATAGCAGCCGGCCCACGACAAAGCGACTGAGGCTCACACAGTCAGAGTGGCTGTTCATCGGAACCTCCTCACCAAACACAGCCTGGAGACACACACAGACACACACACAGACACACACAGACACACACACACAGACACACACAGACACACACAGTCAGAGTGGCTGTTCATCGGAACCTCCTCACCAAACACAGCCTGGAGACACACACAGACACACACACAGACACACACAGACACACACACACAGACACACACAGACACACACAGTCAGAGTGGCTGTTCATCGGAACCTCCTCACCAAACACAGCCTGGAGACACACACAGACACACACACAGACACACACAGACACACACACACAGACACACACAGACACACACAGTCAGAGTGGCTGTTCATCGGAACCTCCTCACCAAACACAGCCTGGAGACACACACACAGACACACACAGACACACACAGAGTGAGACACACACAGACACACACAGAGAGAGACACACAGAGAGACACACACAGAGAGACACACACAGACACACACACAGACACTCA